TATGAGGTAGTGACAAACGTTGCAATGCAAATGAACCTTAAATACATTATGCTAAGTGAGAGAAGCCAGTCACAAGAGACCACACGATGTATGATTCCATTCACATGAAATACCCAGAATACACAAACCTATGGAGACAGAAAGTAAATTAGTGGTTGCTTGGGGCTGAAGAGGAAGGGACTGACTGCTAATGGCTTCAGGCTTTCTTTTTAGTGAAGAAAATAATCTGATTTTGGTGATGGTTCCACATCTCTGTGAGTATACTAAAACTACCAAATTGCGTACTTTACGTGGGTAAATTTTATGGTCCATGAATTATATTTCAATAAAGATGTTAACAAATAGACATCTTTTGGGTATGACATAATCTATATGACTGTGCTCTTCTATACGTTTGAAATTTCCAAAATAAAAGGTTAAAATAAAATGATATATACCTTATGGCATCCATCAAGATGATCCTCAACAGAGTTGGTACTTGACCTTTGACCTTTTTTCACCTTCATCCTTTCTCCCATTCTGATGCCTGGAATGCAGATGTGATGGCTGGAGCTAGCTGCTACTATCTTAGAACATGAAGACAAGGGTCACACCCTAGAAAAGGCATCACAGTGATCTGGAAGTAGCCTGGATCTCTAGGACATCTTGGCTCTGAGCTGCCATGCCAGCTCTGGACTACCTACCTGTGGACATTTAGACGAGTCCTGTTTAAGCCACTCTTCACTTTGGGTGTCCCTTACTCACAGCTAAACCTAATCCTAACTGATAATGTCGTATTTTTATATTAGGGCTATGCTGGTGTCATAAAATAAATTAGAAGGCTTTTCATCCTTCTCTATATCCTGCAAAAGGTTAAATAACAGAGGAACTATCTAATCTTTAAAGCTTTGATAGAAACCTGCCGTAAAACCTTCTGGGGCCTGGCACCTTTTCAGTGATACTTCTTTGGCAGTTTTTTCAATTTCTTCCATAGGCTATCATCTTATTCTGGTACCCCATCTTTTCTGGAGTCACTCTGCATTTTACCGACAGGAAATGCACATACTGTAATATTATAATTCTTATCAGGTTCCTTTTAATATGAAATTGTTCCTAGTGTTACATATTTTCCTCCCTCCACTTCATTTTGTTCTATTAAAGATCAGCCGGTTGAATTAGGCTTTTCAAAGTATAAACTTGTGGACTTATTTATAAATTTCCAGTGTTTTAAATTTCATATCAATATCAATTAGTTCCTGCTTTTATCATGTTTATTTCCTATTTATTTTGCTTATCTAGAGTTTAAATTTGAATGCCTAACTCATTAGTCTTCGTTCTCTCTGGTACAATAAAAACATTTAAGGCTATGAATTTTCCTCTGACTGCAGCACTGGCCATAGTGCAAAGCTTGCTACACAGTATACTCATTTTCATTAAATCTAAAAGCGTCCATAAATGAAGTTTGTTTCCTCTTTGAAGAATGTTATAAAATTTACAAGTGGTTATACTGAATTTGATTTTCCTTTTAGTATCAATTTCTAATTTTACTGCATTATGATAGAGTATGTGGCTTGGGCAATTTCTACATGTTAACATTTTACTGAGTTTTTTTCTTTCATTGATTTTTGCAATTTTTCCATGGATGGAAAAGCATGTATTTTCTGTAAAATATAAAGGAACACGGTGGTGAACATTTTAGGAAGTAAATACTCAATTCTTAAACTTGTCTGCTCTTTTACTGTACTGGGTTTTGAATTTGAGTTTTCTTAATACATACTGATGTTGAAGCTATTTTAAAACAAAAATGAGTATTTAAGATTTTTATTTTTCTGCTCTTTTCTACCACTTTTCCACAGCTAAGTCTGAGCACACCCCTTTCTTGGTGTATCCAGCAGCAGTAGGTCTGGGTTGCTGGCCCAGCCTCCCCCAGGTGGCTGCTCATCTGAAGACAGAAAAAGCTCCTCCCACTTTTGTCACATAAGACCCAGAGGTTGTGGTCTTAAAACTCTAATCCTTGATGGAGATGGGAGGCAGTCATCACATCCCCTGTCGTGGGGCCCTTGCTGAACAAACCCCATCTCTCAGAAATCCTTTTCTCTGGAGCTGCTTCTTCATGGACCTTCACAAAGCCTCCTGCCATGACTGGACTTTGTCAAGGGAATCAAACAGAGGCCTCTCCTGGAGAAAGGACAGCTGATCCAGATGACAAGCAACCAAACATTCTAGTGTTATCTCAACCCTTGGTCTTCAACAAGCAGATGCTCCCCCAAATCTGATGAGTCCTGAAGAAGCAGGCACAAATGATGTCTCTGTGTCTTTCCATCAGCCACAATCCCCTCAACTTTAAATGGGGATAAGAGTTCCCTCCTCATAGTGTTGCTACACAATTAAGATAATACATGCATGGCACTCGGCACAGGGTCTGATCCAGAGTAACAATGAATGCTCACAGAGCTCCTGCTCTCATTAGATGCACAGACATGGCCGGTTATCTATCAACACTCCAGCAACTGAAACCATCTGCGTGGAGGCCCCTGAGTGGGAGCGGCCCAGCCCTCGGGGAGGGCGGCCTCCCTTGAGAAGGCAGTTCCTGCAGGTTTCAAGGACGTGTGGGAACCAGCACCAGACGAGTAGCACCATACTCCCCAGCCCGCAGCGGCTCTCCTCCCAGAACACAGGATGAAAGGGCTGCGTCACAGCTGTCATCACAGAATTTATCTTGGTACTGACACTTCTTCCCAGGAAAGCCTAACCAAATCTTTCAGATCTCTAGAACAGTTAGTGACATTGAAAACCAGCCTGTTTTCCTCCCACTCTGGTCAGGGAGGTTTTACTGGGTAGGGCTGGGTCAGCTGGGTTCTGGGGTGGCTGGATGAGGTCAGCAACAGCTCCGGGGAGTGCTGGTCTACACCCACCCTGGTGTTTGACCAGCTGGGCCTGGGCAAGGTTCTGGACCCTTAAGAATCTTGATGCAGAGGGTGGGCATGAAGATAAAGGAGTATTTCTTCATACTACATGCATGTGGACCTCGGGCTGTACGAGAGGCATGGGTGGGACTGGACCCTACGTCACAAGCTCCAGGGCAGGACAGGGCAGGGCTGCTGCAGCCCAAACACCCGGCAATCCTGTGCTCTGAAGATGACCCATTCCTTTCCCTCTCTGGTGACCACAACACCGGTGAGAGGCTAGCTGTTCGGCTCACACATTCCTTGTGCTCAGCATGGTCTAGGTGGGGAGTAGGCCTGTTCCCGTCCAGCCACGGGAAGGGGCCCACGTCCTCCCTGTCACATGACCACACCCCGCTGCAAAGGAGTTGGAAGTCAGTCCCCAGTCAGGTGGGCATGGCTCCACGGAAATGCAACCCTATTTCTGAACTCGGAAGGGAATCAGAGGGGGGCTGTGGAGAGCACTGGTGATCTGCCATAGCCCAAAGTGCCACCAGTATGTGGGGGTAATCTTACCCCAAAGGTCTTAAAGGTAATTCAGACTCAGGCTCGGGAATTATGAGCATCAAGAAGGCAGAAATGACACCAGGGACCCACCTCCCCCCAGCTACCGGAGCAGGCAGGCTCGGGACATGAGCTCTGGGTGAAGACAGGCATGATATTCTGGCTTCTTTTTTAAACGTTTTATTTCTGATTGACGTCTCCACCTTTCCTCTGGAACTCACGATGTGGCTGAGAACCAGAGCAAGGCCCCATTTCTGCTGGAGCTCCAAGAGCCAGAAGGTGCTCCTGCCTAACCGGGCATTTCCCAAAAAAATGTACTGTTTTAGGTTCATGGCCTCTTTCCTTCACCTCCCCTTCCTCCTGCTGTAATAGGAGCACCTGACAATGGACACCCCCAGCTCCAGCCAGGGCAGTAGTGGGACTGCTGCTGCCCAAGATACCCAAACATCCGAGTTTTCCTTAATAACTTATGGTGGAGGTGCCCGTCCAAGAAGCGCAAGGAAATGGCCCTCGCTCGGGCCCCTCGAGGTTGAATAAAGTGATAAAGGCGGCCGGGCTGCTGGCATCTTCAGGTGATGATTATTCCCTCAGGAGAGGAAGGCCAGGCAGCGTGCACAGTGCGCGGCTTACTTCTGAGGTTAACTGTGGACCCAGAGAAACAACAGCAGGATGTGAAGGAAGAAATGTGCTGTAACAGAGCCACCGTACAGGGCAAAGCCCAGCAGGAGGCGACGGAGAAACTGGCTTCAGGCCAAACTACCTCCCCCGAGCCCACCAACGTAGGTCCCTCAGGTGGGATGGAGGTGGGCCAAGTTCATCAGGTCCAGGTCCAGGTCCCGCCCAGCACAGAGGGGTCTTCACTGCTGGCCTGGGCCCGGGTCCCCTGCCACTCAGAACCCAGCCAACAACGACGGACGTGGACACGTGTTTTTATCCCCAGCAGAACCTTGCACTTAAACGGACTCTGGGAAGACGGCAGTAGGCAACTTCACACCAGGTCCTGAGACTCAGAAATACCCCAGCACCAGCCGTGGTCACCAGATCCCCTCACTCCTGGGAGGGCAAAGCATACTTTCCTCCGGTCCCCAAAAGTTCTCAAGTTATCATGACAAATGTTATAAAAGAGAACAGAGTTGGAAACACGCTGCACATCTGCAGCGGGCGCCACAGCACCCTCCTTGGCGGGCGTCCCCCAACATCATGAGCAACCAGCACGCCTGTTGCCACCCTGCGGGGTCGCGGAGCTGTCGGGAGCCCTGGCCACAGCCATCGGACAGACAGGAGGTTTCCTTTGTCCCTGACCTCACTTTCCAGCAAAGCTCAGACTCTGTTACAACTGTGCTCTGAACCTAAGAAGGAGCAGGTTGGTCAGGAGTCACAGGAAATTTACTCTCTGGGAAACGGTCTTGCCAACGCCACGAAGAAATCCTGATGAATTTCAAAGGGAAGCTCTGACTAGAGGGGCCTCGGGGGAATGAGGAAGAAGCGTCAGACTCGTTTCTGATACAGAACCATCAAGAGAGCGAGTTCGGGGCTGCCGGCTTCGGCTCCCGCAGGTCGGCACGGCTGCTCCCCGCCTACATCCTGCAGAGCTTCAGCGGGAAGTTCTCTGTGATGAGGTGCTCGGGGTGAAGCAGCACAACAATGTTCACCTCGAACTCTGGGAAGAGAAAGGACAGGCTTCATGCCCACCGGCCCGGAGCAGCAGGCACCAAACCCCAACCCCGCCACGGGCGCAGCGAGCTCTCGACAGAGGGAGCACCGGGCGCTGCATGCGTCTGCACGTGCGTCATCCCAAGCATCCAGGAGAATCAGTGTAGATGCTACACTGGCGGGACTGCCTAAGTAAGCTGGTCTTCTCACCTTGGAACATGCTGTAAGGCCTCAGCTTCCCCAAACACTCTCCTTGTCCTTCGTCTTTACTACAGAGAATCTTCTAGAATCCTGTCAATTCACGTGTACTCTTTGGCTTTATTTTTACATTTCCTACAGTTCTTAATGGAAGAGTGGACTCCAAACTGGCCCACCGCTGTCTGGCGACACATCTCCCAGCCCAGGCAAGAAATAATGTTCAGAAACAGCAAGCAGTCTAACTGTAGTTCCTTTGGATACTGGTTGGCTTCCCTACAACACCTGTTCAAACATTCCTCTTTTACCTTTCAGCAAACAGGAGTCTTCTCCCCAGCTCTCCAGCCACTAAGGGTAAGCTTACTGACAGAAAGAGGGGCACGCATGACGAGGGAGTCCCCGAACAGAGTCCAGCCCGGGTCCCTCCCCCGCATGAAGAGTGAGGCGGGCAGCACCGCAGCATGGGGCTCAGCTGGGGAAGGGGCTGGGGGTCAGCTCGTCCAGGACTCCGCCTGCAGCCCAAGGACAACGTCCCCATGTGTGGCTGTCACCTTCGCCAAGCACCAGCCGGGACAGGAGTTGTGCACCAGCAGCACGCACCCTGTTCCCTTCCTTTCCGTTCCTTGATGATGGTCACGCACCGGAACAGCCCCTGGCCCTGCCCGGCACCATCCCTCCCCAGGTCCTCTAACCACCTTGCAGTCCTCCCTGGCGGGGGGCACCGTGAGCTGGGCTGGAGGATGCCGCGGGCCTGGCTGTGCGAAGCCCCCTGCAGTCAAGGTGAAGGGGTACACCCAGATGTGCGCCTAACGCAGGACGCGGGGCTCACCCTGCCCGCACCCGAGACCCAGAGCCCGACCTCACCAGCCACACGACAGCAACCCAGGGGCTATGAGAGGCTGCGGCGCTCAGTGACCGTGGGCCACCTCCTCCCTGGGGGACCCCACCAGCTGACGGGGCGGCCACTGTGCAAGCCCCTGAACAGACGAAACAGGAGCCACGAGGACAAAAGCATCAGTGATGTCCTGGCTGATGGACTGAAGGCGTTATTTCTATGGAAGAATCACAGGCACCTCATTAAATCTTACATGGACACTTAGTAAGTCTGACAAATATAACACACAGAAAATAGAGGTGCCTGATGCATAGCATAGCAGAAAAAAATAATTTTTGGACCGTTTTTGAAGTTTATGTAGGAAAACCAAGTTGAGGAATCAACAGACAAGCTCCTCCTCAACTTCACATCAAAGTACAGTCGACCTTTGAACAACGCCGACCCTACACACGGCTGACCGTCTGCATAGAGTTTACAGGCTGCCCCTTATTCAGCAGTTCCTCCATAGCTGTGGTTCTGCATCTGCAGATTCAACCAACCACGGCTCATGCAGCACTGCAGTGTATGCTCCCGAAAAAACACCCATTTCAGAACACAGTGTGCAGCGTGGCAGGGAGCACCCCGGTGGGACGCGCGGGGCTGGTACGAGGCTGTGGCTGGGAGGCTCCTGGTGGCTGCAGGCACTGACTCTGCACTTGAGGCCCTGGGGCCTCTGGATTGTGTACAGTGGGCATATACTACCTACTCAATAACCATACACAGTTTTTGAGAAAAAACATGGTACCTTGTTAGCTTGGGTCAAGTCTGACCCTATGTCATCTTTCAGCCGACCGTGCTGTGCTTTTCCGTATTCGGTGAACAGCTGGGTCTGTCGCCCTCATTTCTATTGACAAGGGTGTCCTGACCCCATTATGTTCTCGCTACAATATAACATTTCAGATAAAGCACTCAAGGGCTCCACTGGTATTAAGACTGTGCTTCTAGCCTGCCGGGCTGGCGGGGCTCCGGGGCTCATGCTCCAGAGCACACAAGGGCACAGCCAGGTATGAGCAGCACCCCGGGATGCCAGGTGCGACCACCTTTCCCTCTCTTAAAACAAAGAGCGTACACTCAACTTCAGTGATGAAACTCTACTTACCTCAATTTTTTTTTTTTTTTTTTTGGCTGTACCATGCAGCTCGCAGAATCTTAGTTCCCAAACCAGGGACTGAACCTGGGCCCCGGCAGTGAAAGCGCCAAGTCCTAACCACTGGACCGGCAGGGAATTCCCTCTACTTTCTTCAATTTTAAATTACATTATTTGTAATTATTTAAAGTAAAGTCACAGTCTAATTTTAAAAAAAAAAAAGATTGTCTCTGGGCTAGTAATATTGTATGTTAGAAGATTTAGGGGGAATATAACATTAAGAAAACACATTGGCCTTAGGGACTATGCTCCCATTTCTCAATGAAACGGGTATGAAAACAATCATTTACCAAAAGGTCCTTATTCTATCTATTCACCAGTGAGCCTGCGCATGACACAGAGCCCAGGGACACTTCTGTGGTCTTTTGGTCAGTCTGCAGAAGGTTGTGTCAGCCAGGGCAGAGGCCCGAGGGTCCATCCTGCTGTGTCTCTGCGGTGGGGAGTAAGCTCTCCACTGAGCTTCGTAAGCATGAACATTTTATTAGGATGAATGCACCATCAAAACACTTTATAAGAACACTTAAAACCATGGAAAGGTTCATAATATAAAGTGAAGGGAGTTAAAGCAGGATAGAAAACTGCATCTGTCACGTGATTCAGATCTTGTGGTCAAAATCTCTACCCACGCATTCATGGAAAACGACCGACACACCCTCAGCTGCTGGAGCTAAAGCCCTCGGGAAGATTACCGTTCACACTGGGCTGTCTCAGGTCTCGCGTCTCCGTCAAATGCCAGCCTATCAGGGAGCCGACCTGACCTCCTCATGCACCCGGCTGGCTGATCCCTGGCTGAGTTAGTGTCCTTCACAGAGTTCGTGGTCACCTACCCGGCCCACGCTGTCTCCCGGGGGGGGTGGGGGTTGGGGGCGACACAAGTTCCTCGGAGCCAGGACTGCTCACCGGTGACCTTCAACGCCACACAGCTGCTCTGCCTGCGTTTTTGTTGAGTGACCGAAGGACTGGGTGCTCTGGGCTGCATCTGACCCCAGCAGACCAGCAGGCCCGACCCCTCCGGTGACTGCACCCCTCCCGGGGGTACCCCAAGGGCAGCACACGTACCCACTTTGAAGTTGGTGGTCTCCAGTGTCGGGCAGGTGAAGAGCCGGGGGAAGACCATGTATATGGGGACAGAGAGACCCCGACACACATCCCCGTCGGCGATCTGAATGTTCTGAATCTCTGTGGCATCGCGGGCGTACCCTTCTGCACAACCTGGAGCAGGGAGAAAGCATCACACGGTCAGAACACAGCAAACGTCCAAACAGGCTGAGCCACAGGCCCTGCGTGAGTCTAGGAGAGCCTGCATCAGCCCACTCACCTGCTCTCCCCTGTCTCTGCAGGATTCTGGAGTCCTCCCTCCCTCCACATCCCACGCTCCTCAAACATACGTTTCTTGGAATCGAGAGGCGAGCTCATGGCTAAGGGCTGGCAGCGGCGGGGGCGGGGAGGATGGAGAGGAAGAACGGGAGACAGGGACGGAGTGGGGACCTTACCGCAGGTCTCCACGCGCACCAGCTGCAGCTCAATGCTTTTGATGGCGGCCTCCGAGCTCTCCACCACCAGCTCTCCCGTTAGTGGCTGTGTGATAACACAGTTGGTCGAGTTGAGATGTCCTCTGATGAGAAATTTGGGGAGCAAGGCTCTCTAAAACAAGACAAAAACAGACACATCAGGAGTGGGAGGTGCCAGGAGAAGGTAATCAAATCACTTTGGTACAAATAAAAACTGAAAACAGGGTCAGATAATTTTTATAAAATCCACTGGGACCCTGGTTTACAAAATGGGAAAAAAGGTACAACAGTACTTACATTTTCTGTCAACTTAAGTAACAGACTGAATTATTCAACAGCTATCTACAGACGTAAGGCACCTGATGTTGCTGGCACAGAATGACCAGCTCTCTCACAGAAGCATACTGATTGCCTAGATCAGGTCTGGAACACTCCTTCTCACCAAGGACACGACATAAAAATGTCTAAAGAAGTTGCTGACAGTGTTTAAGGACAACCAGTCCCCAAAAGGAAAAAAAAGAGGTTTTAAAAAGATAATCAATTTTTAAATGTTCCCAATTATGCAATTCTGAAAAACCAAGACATTAACTTTATTTCAAGGAAATTTAAAGAGAACAATTTTCATCAATGCTTGACTAAAAAAACCCATGGACCTTTTCTCTTCAGACAGAGGAAAATGGCCACGGGTGAGTGACGATGCCACGGGAAAAACAACTAGAGAGTTAGAGACATCTGTCCTGGCAGAGTCTTTCCTATGGCTGTGTCCCAGTTACTGCAGATAATTCAGAGTTTAGAACACCACACTGTCCAACAGAAACATAATGGAAGCCACAAATGTGAAGCAACTGTAATTTAAAGTTTTCTAGTAGCCACATTAAGAAAGTAGACGGAAACAGGTAAAATTAATCAGTATATCCAAAATATTATCAATTCCACACATCATCAGTATTTTACAGTTGTGAATGATGTTTTATATTCTCTTTTTCATACCGAGTCTTTGAAACCCAGTCAGTATCTCACCCTGAATCTCATCTCGATCTGACCAGCCCCACCTCAAGGGTCAGTGGTCATGCGTGGCTGGTGCCCTGTACTGGAGGTCAAGAGCAAGGGCGCTCTGTACCTGGTAGTCCCCAAAGGCAAAGAACTCTAAAAAAAGTCTTAATTCAAGACAGAATTCTAAAAAAAACTAAAAGAGGCTATTTGTTTAGAAAAAGGAAAAGCAGTAGCAGTTCCCATTAAAATTCTCTTAGGCAACTGCATGTTTCCAATCAAGGTTCAAATTCCTGAGAAGAAAATCTGACTGGCCTACTGGGGTCACTGCTCCAGAAACCAGAGAAGGGAGAGAAGTTCAATGGATTTCTGAAAGGCTCCCCATGACACACCCCCACCTCAGCTGTGCCTCTCGCGAGATGAAGCCAATAATCCTCCCAAATTGGCCTTTGACCCGACCCCAGTCAGGAGGGTCCAGGGAGCAGAATGCAGGGTTAGGGTAGGGAGGAAAAGCCACGTCCACAAAAGACAAGTGACCAGGGGCCCAGCTGAAAAACCAGGGTATGCAGCCCCCCTGACAGGCAGTGGCGGCCCCGGGGCTCAGGGGAGGGGGTCTCTGGCCACAGTGCAATAAAACTGGGAGAAGATAGTAAAAAATTATAAACATATACCCTCTCTTTTAAAAACCATCCTTCTGCTAAGTAGTTACTGAATTTAAAAAGAAAGTAAAATTGAAAATACAGACTATTTCGAGTAGAGACAAAAATTTCCTCTTGCTGATGACTTGATACCCAAGTAAAGAACAGGTGGGCAACAGTCTGTCAGTGGGATCCGGTTACTAAGAAAGCCTCCCTGGCACTGGCGTGTAAGGAACATGTTACCTCTTTGACATTCTGTAAGGTTTCAGGCGTGACAGTGAAGGCCACGGGACTCGGAGTCAGTTTCCGCTTCTGAGGCTACAAGAGGAGGAGAAACCAAAATCAGCAGCGTCCACAGGTCAGACTTGCCTTTTCCCCATTTAAGGAAACACAAGGTAGCATCGTGAACCAGGAAGACCTTGGCACTAAGAGGCAGGATGCTTGGATTCTAAACACAGTTCTGCCAAGAAACAAGGAAGGCTGTGTGCTGTCCAAGGTCCTCATCCCCGTGACTCAGTTTCCTCATCTGTAAGATGAGGGGACAGGCTTCTTAGTCTCTAAGGTCCCTTTCAGGTCCAGAATTTAAAAACAGAGCAGTATTGTTGGGAGACATTTATTCTCAACCTCTTTCTGAGAATAAAAGCCACTGAATCGGCACCATGACCCTGTGCAGAGCTGTTACTGGCCCTGGTCCCACTTCACAGATGACAGTGAGGCACAGAGGGCTCAAATGGCGGCTCAAGCACGGGGCAGAGTTGAGGTCCAAACCCAGGCAGCGTGGCTCCAAGGCCGGTGCAGTTAGCCACTCGGCTGTACAACTGTCTACCAGGAAGAATCACACCTATAACGTAAGTAGTTATATGTTAACATAATTAATTATATGTTGCCGTAATTAGTTAACAAGGATCATCTCCGCATTACATACGTGCAGAATCCATCAATACAGCCAAGCTTCACAGGGCCTGCCTAGTGTCGTTTACTCATGGGCTGGGGCCAAAAGGCCACTGACACCCAGATGGCCGAGGAGCCATGGAGGAGAAAGGGCACCGACCGATTTGCCAAGTTCACTCACTCACCAAAAGCTTATTCTAGGAAATATTCTTCTTGAATATATTCTTTTTACTAATAGGTTCATGAACATATTCTTTAGGGAATAATATATTCTTCCTCACAGTACACAGAGGAATATTTAACTTCATGTACTACAGGTCACAGCATGGTTTGGCTTCTAGTGAAATCAGTCACGAAGACTCTTGAAGGCCGAGTGCGGGCGGACCCCCAGGGGCAGGAAAGAAGCCCAAGCTCTGCGGCCACCCGTGGGCCGGGGGCCAGGTCTGCGGGCCCAGCTCTGGGCGGGGGGCTGGGTTTGGGCTCATTCATCTTCACAAAGTTGGAGGCGCTTTTTATTTAGCACATAAAATGCCAGTTGACGTTTTTAGGGGATAATCTACGTGAGAAAAAGGTTTTTTGCTTCACTTTGAAAACCCTTGATGGTAAAAGGGAAAATATCCATGTAAATCAAGTTACCTTCCAAAAAGGATAAATATTTTCATCATATTTTACATAAAATATTGTATCACTGAGAGAAATACTTAACACTATGATTATTAAAAATTTATAAACAGGGAAACTACAAATATTGGAAATCCTAAGAAGTCACAAAATGATGCGAGGGCATCAGTGATTTTGCCGATCTTATGCACAAGAAATCTGTCTTACATTTTCACTTAATCATCACTAAAAGAGACCCATGGACATTTCATAATAGTGTAAAAGGCCCTGCCCCAAAGGACCTGGAGAGGCTGAGACACAAAGGAATCCAGGGCCGTGGGCACAGCTACTCACCACCACGTGTCACCTGCAGCCCTGGCACGTGAGAGGGATTTTTAAGGACACTTTGTCACTGCAAAGTACTAGCAGAGGTGTCAGGAGAGGCTCCCCACCCCGGCCCGAGCAGTCCTGCATGTTCTTGCTGCACAGGCCGAGAATGCAAGGCCCTGGCCTTCTCTCCCTGGGCTGGGCCATTTCCCCCAGCTGTTCGCTGAAGCTGCCTTGAGGGACAAGGTGATGTCTCCCTCCAGGACAAAGAGCAGGCTTGCTCACTGCCTGCTGTAACAAAGGCGGATTCCCCAGCTTGGGGCTCCGCAGCTGAGGCGCAAAACCCCTCAGGTGCAGCGCCCCTTTGGGCCCGTGGCATCACCCCACAGGGCTCTGGCCCAGGGGAATGACACACATGCTGACACCAGCCATGCCAGGAGAAATCCAGTCCCCTGCCTCTAACCCAGGAGTCCTGAGTCTCTCCCCAGCATCCACGAAACACTACCAGGCTAACTTACTGCTTGTAAGTGGGGTCAGCCCCAGACCCCACAGAAGATTCCTATTACTGAGCCCAGAGCCCCCTAGTGCAGCTTACAGCAGAGTGAACGATGAATTCACAGGTCTTGGTCAAGTCCTTGGCCAGCAGGGACCGTCTCATGTCACAGCGCAGGGTATACTAGAGGGAAAGGCAGGGGAGAATACATCCTTTCAGATGGTTTGCTTTCATCTTGGAATTACTTACAAAGAGGCAAGTCAGTCAACATATTTTAGGGAAACTTTGTCCGATTAACATGTTACATGAAATTAATATACATAATGGGGGGAGTGAATGCTCAGAACAACAACAGTGCTATTAAAAAAACACTTTAAGGTTATTCCTCAGCCCATTCCCACGGCCATTCTGTAGCTGGACCCCCTGGAATACAGGTGCAGACCCTCCCCTGTAACACAGGGCAGACCAGAGAAGCAGAGCAGGAAGGGCAGGCCTGGAGCAGCAGCTCGCTCACACCCGGTCCTCTGCCTTACCGGGCGAGCCCAGACAAGGAGCACAGCTTCTCTGGGCTTCAGCTTCCTGCTCGCTCACACTACCTTAGTGAGGACCCAGCGAGGTAACGTGTGATAAGCCAAGGCCTGGCACACAGCAGCTCTGGGTAAAACGGCAGCTGTTTTGTAGTAAGGATGAGAAAACACAGAGGCAGCAGGACTGCAAACCCCTGGACGGCATCTAGACTTCACAGGCCAACCTGGGAGATGTGGGTCAGTCCCTGACTCGCTCTCACTCGCTGGGTTCTCTGCATGGGCGGCACTGCGCTGGGTGCCGGGGCAAGGGCAGAGCTGCACCCCACGTGGGGTAGGGAAGCGATGCTAGCGACAGTGCTGAGTCCTGGAGCTCAGGCCTCCAGGGCATCTCAAAATGAGCTCTTCATATCTTAACCTTAGGAGGAAAAAAGAGGGCAAAGTCTTTGCAAAATTGTCATTTTAGAAAATTCAGATGTATGCAAACGTAAAGAGAAGCGTATAAGGAAGCCCCAGAGTCCGTCAGCCAGCTTCCCCAACGGCCAGTCCTGTTCTTCCCCTCGGCCCTCCCCCATTGGCCAGCAAAGACGTATCCGGCGAGCAAAAGAACGTGGACGGGAAAAGGACTGAGCATCACGCTTGCTTTGAACTTGGCTGTATTCAACTCCTCTGCTGTCCCTGTGCTGTCCTTCTGAACTAGCCACTGCCGGTGCACCTGCTGCAATGGGCCCCAAACCGAAAGCTCGGCTTCACCCGGGACTGTCCCTTCACATCCCTGCCCACGGCAGACTGTGTGGTAACAACACTCTACAGCACGATCACTGTCTTAATCTTAAACAAAAAATCACAGAATGTATGTTTGATAAAGTGAGCTGTTGTTTTAATCATCCAAGAAAAACATTAAAATAATTTGTAGAACTGGAACTATATGCACAGTTGAGTCAAGAAGCTACAACTAATATGACCAACCTGTCCACGTTAAACAAGAAGCTGCTGTGTATTTAAGGTGCTCCTGGGATATTAAAACATTAAAGAAAAAAACAATCAACCTTTGTCTGCAAGGGCCTTCATATATATATACAGATATAGATATAGATATAGATATTCTCTATCGAGATTTCAATCTGGTCTCCCCAACCAGACAAGCTCAGTGAGGGCTGTACCATATATGTATATGCTGTGTTTGTGTGTATAATGTACAATATATACATGCACGTATGCATGTCCACTGTCTCTCTCCTGTACAGACCACACGCTGCCTAGAAGAGGCAGAATTTTATTCGGGCTTTGCCTGGTCTCCTTGATCGTTTTCCCAATGGGAACGTTCCTTCCTCATTTTCAGTCTCAGGGCTTTGGGCGGGGCTGATTTTCCCCCATCCCACGGGGGTGTGGAAGTGACCAGAAAGGCAGGACTGTTGCTGGGCCACGGGAAACAGTCCCTTCTGCTGGGGCTGCCAGGCCAGGAGATTGTAAGCCTGTGGCCGCCGGCCAACAACCAACTTCGCCCCCGAGAACACCGAGCTGGGGGCTGACCGGTGCCCGCCCTGGCCTAGACAGGCCCCTGGAATTGAGAGTTCCATGATCCAATATCCCTTTTTTGGCTAAGCCAGTTTGAGCTGGATTTCTGTAACTTGCAGATGAGAAAGTGTGAGTAACGGGCACCAACTTTTGGTCATTGAAGGTTTTTAAGTGTGAAAGCAATAATTAGTAATATAAGGCAGCTGGTGGTAAGTGGAGGGAAGGGGAGAAAGATAGAGAAAAGAGGAAAAACACTGAGGTTATGTTTTAGGAATTGTGTTAAGTTCTTAAATTTTTTTTCTTTTTATTTTGGCCACACAGCACAGCTTGCGGGATCTTAGTTCCCGGACCAGGGATGGAACCCGTGGCCCCTGCAGTGGAGGCGCGGAGTCCTGACCACTGGACCACCAGGAAAGTCCCATATTAAGTTCTTTCACATGTACTTTCTCAATTAATGCTGATAATACAAATGTAAGAACTGTTGACAAAATATAAGGACAGTCACCATTAATTCATTTATTTAATCATTCAGAAAACATTTACTGGGCATGTTCTACGTGCCAGGCACTGCGCTAAGCACTTCACATCAAGGCCGCATCAACCCCCCAGGAAGAGGGGTCATGAAGGCTGCTTGGGGTCACAGAGGTGGGATCTGAATTTATACCTGCCTGCCTGCTGCTGAAACCCATGCTCTGAATCTTTATGCAATACTGTAACTCCAGCCCAGATCCGTCTGCTGCAAAGCCCTGGATCTTTTAGCTCTATCATGATCCTTCCCAGTTATTAAGGAGTGATCTATACGGTGTGAGCTACGGGAGGTCAGAGGGGGTCAGGACGGCCAGACTTGAGCAGGGCTCCAAGAGGAGGTGCAAGATTCGATCTTTTTTTTTTTTTTCTTTTATGGATGCGCAGCATGCAGGATCTTAGTCCCCCGACCAGGGATGGAACCTGTGTCCCCTGCGGTGGAAGCGTGGAGTCTTAACCACTGAACTGCCAGGGAACTCTCAAGATCCGATTTTTTCGACTGTCAGTAGACACAGGACAGGAACGAGGAAAGAAAACGCGTGTCAACAGACTTAAAGCCGACTCCTAGCAAGGAGTCTGTCAACAGGAGGACTACCACCTCTACCATCTGACTGAACACAATTTCAGCAGACATGCTGGAACTGCTGTATTTTGTGTTTTATAGTATAAAACCTTGCTAGCATGGCCACAAGAGTAAAACAACCATAATAAAACTTCCCCGTGATTTAAACAACTTTTAAAGGAAAAAGTGGCTGCACAGGGGACGACTAGAAAGACTGCCAGCTTCCTGTATGCTCTATCTACTAATAAGGATGAGAAATGGATGCAAGATGGCTGAGAAGAATGAGAGCAAATAGGATCAAGCCCTCTAACAAGTTACAAGGAAACCAGCCCCTGCAAGCTGGCAATTTAATACTGGCTACATTTTAAATCCTTTATTCTGTCTTATGATTTCTCCTGTTTTTACATTATGTTCCTACAACACAATTCAGAGGATAAATGTAAAATGTCTTTTCACCCGTATAATTTGAGAAAGATGTTATTAGGGCTCAACAACAACACTTTCTATCCCAAGTCACGCACCCGGGACTCTTCACAGGAAGCTCGATAAGCGATGGCACTGAGAAGGTGACGTCCTGTGTGGCACCTCTCTGCAAGGCACCTGCTCCACTGTCCAACAAGGAGGGTAGAAAAAGCCCCATCTAGAGACTGAGTGAATGAGTGAACTGATGAATGAAAAAGAGATCAAGAAGCTATAATCCTAGTTTCTCTCAAGAAGTATATTTCTCAAAAGAAGCAATGACAATTTGAGTAAGAGCTGAGAATATGATGATATTGGGGAATTTGTATTCATTCTGATAGGTGTGAAAACAGTTAACTGGGACTATGTAGCAGAACGTCCCTATGTTTTGGTGATAGGCATTGAAGTATTTTGAAATGAACTGTCAAGATTCTGTAACTAACTTTGAAATGATTCAGAAAAAAAATAAATACAGATGAAACAAAGGTGGCAAAATTCTAATAAATGTTGAATCTAGTGGTAAGTGTAAGGTGACAAGCTCTTACAATTTGAGGCTGAGCAGACATCTCTATATTTTCAGAAATTTATGAGATATTTGGGGAGGTGCAGAATTCCAAGTTGTAGCATTCTGAGGTTACCCTCAAAGTGGTAAAATCTGATGACCAAAATGAAGGGGGTCGGGGCGATTATGTGCCTTTTACTAAAGAATTAACCACGTTAACTCTTCTTCTGCATTTTAACTAGTTTCCAACTTACACAGAGATACACAGGAACCCAAGTTTTGTATGTATATCTGTCTGGTTTCTTGGCAATATTTGGAAAAGGGTGAGATTTCCAATTTTATTTTAAACAAATTAATCTTTTAACAAGAATGATAAACACAGGAAAAGAAAGTGACAAGTAAGAAGTATGACCACAGAAAATCTGATGTTTTCCTATTCAGTTTCTAATGAATATATGCTTCTATTGCTAAATAAGCAGCATCAAAGAACTACTGTGTGGGTAAAGCAGGTTGATGCTGATTCTGGCAAGAGAATAAAAATAATTTTGAAAATGTGACGTTTGAGATATTTTCAGTCTCGCTAAAAAGTAAAAAGGCAATACTTTCTTTCATGGTGAAAGTATTCCCAGCCTAGAAAGCTGGTCAGAGGATGCGGGTCTCTACAGCAGCGATCTGTGTGTCTATGCAAGGGGTCTCCTTTGAACCTAGACGCTTTACTGTCACTTCTTGTGAACTGCCCAAAGCCTTCAGTATATTTATTGCCTGAAGCAGGCGCACGAATAACAAAGGACTAGCAAAGCTTCCCTTTACAGAAAGGTATTGACTGCGACAGAGCACGTCATACTGGCAAAGCTTCCCTTTGCAGAAAGGTATTGACTGCGATAGAGCATGTCATACTGGCAAAGCTTCCCTTTGCAGAAAGGTATTGACTGCGACAGAGCACGTCATACTACATGGGCTTCTTCTTGACCGACCTCTTAGGCCATGCGTAAAACTCACATACAGACAAACTTTTGGTTAAACTCTCACAAGTGTTTGGAGGATTTCATTTTAAAAAGTGCTACATTTTAAGCAGGGGAATGGTCTCTACCAAGACCAAATTATCAGCTAAAAATTAATAAGTCAAAAAAATTTCCTAACTGCCAGCCCTCTTGCACATACGTAAGACAAAATACTTTTGTCTCATCCAGCAGGGGAACCGCTGCAAGGCTGATAACACAAAAGTACCTTTCTTTCCGCTGAATCAAGGAAAGGCTCTCTTTCTCTTGCTCTGAGTCATGACTCCAAACTGCCCCTGAGACAACAATAGGGACTGTGAAAGAACCCTGAACCAGCGGAGGTAGACAGGAAGTCATAAATCTACTTCCCCCTCTTTTACAAGGTTTGTTCAATAAAGAATACAAGCCTATGTCAGAGCGGGAGCCTTTGGGTATGAAACAAAGAGATATTTATACGTATAAAATAGAAAAGTTAGTGCGGGTGCCAGAGAGAAGTGAGGGCACGTCTACTACCAACAGTAAAAGCACCCCTTACAGTGTCAGTGTGGCCTGAACAGAGCCCCAAAGAAACAACGGAATTTTGGAAAGAAGCTACAGCTTGGGTCCTCCTAGATCCCCATCAAAGATAATGGTCATACATAAAATATGTTCTGCAGGGCAAAATGAGAAATCAATACAGAATATACATGGGAGGGCTCAGCAATAAATAGAGTATTAAATTCTTGGGTCCACCTATGAACTTTCAGTGAAAGAAAGACCAAACTGTTTTGCAGAAGAAAAGTTGTGAAGTCAGCTTCACAGGATAAGGAAACTCTCACCTGAATGTTGACAAACACGCCATGGTAAGTCTCATATAGAACTCTGTTACCCTTCACGTGCAGAGGAAATTCAAAAGGAATTTCTGTTTTGCCACTGGGAAATTTTCCTGGTTTCACCATTTCGATGGTACTGTTGATAATCTGGATGGGCTGTAAAGAAAACCCAAGTCAGTCCATCAACAAGCACTTCTTGATGCACTTTCTTTCACGTTACTGCGTCTATTAAATAATCTCCCGAGACACCACACCCCAGCCCTCAGCCGCTACCATCCTGGTGCCCTGTCAGCAGTGAGTTGGCCCAAGGTCTCTGGTTCATTTGCAGGATTGGATGCTTAGGCGTTTGGTGCACAGTAGGAAGTGAACTTCCCTCCCTTACCCCTAAGTATCTCAGCTGACTGTCCTAACGACCCTTCTGGCGGGGGCACCTCCACCTTCAGAGTGGAGCAGACGTGCACGGCCCTTGGCAAGGTGCGAGGCCCTCGCACAGCCCAGGGCACCCGTGCAGGCCTCCTCGGCTGGGCCCTTGGAGAGAAACAGTACTCACACTTGGAACCTGCCTAAAAGGCAGGTGTTACACCTTACTTAGTTAAGGTACTCTAAGCCATTGATTTACAATCACTTTGAGGAAATCCACAGCTTCTGAAGTGAGCCTCTAAGTGTTGATGGAAGAAAATAAGAAAACTGTGGAAAAACCTGGGAAGGTCCTGAATCTGAATACTCTTAACGAACCTTTCTTTCCTCTCAACTCTTT